CCCAGGTACCTCACTTTGAAAAATAATGATATATTATGGTTTTTAAAACAGGGTGCAATAACAGTGGCTCTCTATATTTACATTCATAGTAAAATTCAGTTTCAAAGTCTAATTTCACTGTATCCAGCACGTTCTTCCATCAACCCCTATGGTCTCTGGGTGCACCCAGCTCTTTTCTTTTCCACTTGTGGTCTTTTCATGTACAGAACCCTTTCTTCTCCATGTGGCTAATGCCTTATGCTTCATCTTACTTAAATGCAACTGTCTCAAAGAGATTTTACCTCCTTACACTCAAAGTAGCAAATTCTCCAGTTATCCTGTCTCATCTCTCTTCTAATTTGAGGGATTTTTTTTTTATGTTTAACATTCTACCCACACTGGACTATAAACTCCATGACAAAAGGACCTGCTTTTGTCCCTGACCAAGTGCTGTGTCCAAGGCATACTTGCACTTAAATTAATCCCATTTGGACATCAAAATATATTAAAGGTAATGAATAAAATCTGCAAGTTTGGGCTGATTGACTAATATGTTGGCTATACTTTGGACAAGTTATTGAACTCTGTGCTTCAGTTTCCTCTTATGTAAAGTGTGGTTAATAGCAGGATCTAATCCATGGGGGTTTTGTGATCATTAAATGAGTTAGCGTTTATGAAGTACTTAGTATGATACCTGGCACTAAGCATGATATGAATCCATGTTATTATAGTGACAAACTATTTTCACTATCATGCATAGTACAACGTTATATATAATGTACACAAAATAGACTCCTTTTCTCTCATCATACCATAGTTAAATGAGTACATGCAGTGTGAATGTTGTATTGTCATTTCTAATATGTGGGTACAAAAACATGCCTTATTGCAACAGGCTAATGTAACATCCCAATAGTGTAGCTATACATTGTACATGCAATCTACTCCTCAGCATTTATTCAACAACTGCTATGTTCCAGTCCTGTACTAGACATTGGTGACCCAAATAAGAAATAGGTATTGGGAACTGTGTACCCAGTGGAAGGGGGATTCCCTGTTTATCCACATTAGTTCAAGGGCACTTGGAGTTCTTCTAGAGGAATGGACAATAAACTTAGGTTGGATTCAGATTAGACCCAAGGTACAACTTTCAAGAAGTGAAGATTGAGGGCTAGAGGAGTGGCTCTAGGAGTAAGAGTGCCTGTCTAGCAAGTGTGAAGCTCTGAGTTCAAACACCAGTGCCACAAAAGAAGAAGGAGGAGGAGGAGAAGGAGGGGAAGGAGGAGGAGGGGGAGGAGGAGGAGGAGGAAGAGCAGGAGGAGAAGGAGGAACAGAAGGAGAAGAAGAAGAGTGCAATCATGTTTTTCTCTCCAGATGTCTGTGTGAAGAAATAAAGAAACTTATACTTTGAATAGTTTAGCATGATCCTGTTTAAAGGCACAAAGACAGATTAGTCTCATTAACATATTTACCATTATCACAGTAATTATTTGAATCTTTCACTGTTCACTGGACTTTTGGAAATGGGTACAGACTGCCTGTTCAGGGAACTGCCTGTTCCCTGAAGTCCCTTGGTGGTGGCAGATGATGGTTAGCTACTCTGCACTCAGAGAATTCCTGAACACAGAGAGATTAAGGTATTTACCCACTGTAACATGGTAACACTAGTAAGGTGAACTGTGAAAGGCATAGGAAGCAGGGTAGCTATTTCTCTGAGCTGAAGTCACTGCCTCTTTGGATCACTAAAAAGAAGGATGATAAGAATCTCTTCAGATGCTGCTCTAGCGAGCCTGGATATGCAAATTCTAGAATTGCTTCTCCCTGGTCTCCCCTATTTCAAATGAAAGAACAAAACCAACAAGGCAAAGAAGCAACCTCTAGACATGGGTGGCAAATTGATTTTATCTAGAATGCCAACTATGACCAATTAGTAATGCTGGCAAAGATTCTTAGGTCAGGATCCAGAAAGAGTGCTATGATGAATGAGTGAGGTCTGCTGTTGGCCTAGTGCAGAGGATCAGTAGCAACTAAACCACATATGCGTGTTCATTAACTAGCGTGTTGATAGGTCATGTTACTGATAAAAGAAACTGAAACGTAAGAAGTGGAGACACTCCTATAAGATTACACAGCTAAGAAATGGCAGGATTTGAACTCTGGTTCCCAAGTCCTGAACTTTTTTTTAGGCAATTAATATTTATTGGACAGGTAAATTTAGATTCTAGCCCCAATTCTTTCATCTACTGCCTCAGTCTCCTTTGACAAGTTCATGTATCCCATATCTATCAAAAGAATAAATTTGGGGGATATAGCTATGGCAGAGTGCCTGCTTAGCATGCATGAGGCCCTTGGTTCAATCTTCGGCCCTACCTAAACAAATACATGTCATGGCCACAGCAAAAGATGATGCATCCAAAAAAAAATTAAGCTAGCTGGTCACTGTGGCCCACACCTGCAATTCTAGCTACTCAGTAAGTGGAGACGGGAAAGCTTGAGGTTCCAGGCCAGCACTGGAAAAAAGTTTGCAAGATCCCCATCTTAACCAACAAAAACTGGGCATGGTAGCATACACCTGTCATCCCAGGTAGGGGAAGCTTAACTAGGAGAATTTCCATCCGGGCCAGCCCAGGCATAAACAAGAGACCCTACTTGAAAACCCTGAGCTTATTACAGAGCCTCCCACCTAAAAATCTCAGGACTGTGCTCTCTTAAGAGCATGGCACATGGCTACCTGATGAACTTTGCACTGTTCCACGCTGGCATGCCTGGGGTCCCCAGGACTCCTACCATGCCCAATGTAAAGACAGAAACTGCATTTTTCACAGGTTTCCTTTGCTCCCTATAGAATCACCTTGGGCAAGTTGCATGGCTATCCTGGGCTTCAACTTCCTCATCTTTAAAAGGGAATGAGAGTAGCATCCTCTGCTGTGGAGCTCAAAAGAGGCAAAGCTGTGCGAATGGGAGTTTTGTCAGCATTGTAGGAATTAAGAGCAGGAATACAGCTGGGAAGTGTTGATTGACTTGTGGGGGTAGGCTCCCTCCTAACTCTCCCTGCAAGTGAATCAATTCATACCCAAGTGTCATGAGTAAGGATAGCGTTAAATATCCCAGGCTACTGAAGGAGCCAGCTCTCCACTACATGTAACATGACATTGACATCGAGCAATGGAAGAAGTGGGCATTTTCAGAGGCGGAAAGTGGGAGAGAAGGGGTTAACTTACTTCTACTCTCCTCTCCCTCCAAGCATCCCTACCTCTGCTACTCACGTCAGAAGCCAACAGATGCATCTCTACTTGTCGACCAGAAGGGGTCACTGTACAGCGGGCAGCTCTCTAAGCCAGGACACAAACAAGGAATACACACAAGCCCAACCCATACACTCTTTGGGATGGATGCTCCTTTATTCCAGAGTTCTGGCTTCTCTTTCTTGTCCTGCCTTGCTCCTTATCCTCCTGTTTACCTAGTGTTCTCTTTTGAAGAATTTCTGAAGTTCACATTGGTGTCTTGGCTCTTGTTCCCCATTGAATCCCCACTGCTACCAAGGAGAGCAAAAATCATAGGTTTGGAAGCTGCATGGCTCAATTACTAGAGCACCTGTCTAGCAAGAGTGAGGCCTGAGTTCAAACCCCAGTAGCAGGGGGAATAAAAAAGAATCATAGGTCTCTCTCCCACTTTCACACCTTCCCCCTACCTCCAGCGCCCCAGCTAGGGTTGGGACCAGGTGCCAGGTGCTTGGAGGCCTGTAAAACTCAGGCCTCCTTCCAGAAGTTTGCAGCCCAGGGAGTGAGAGGCAGCAGCAATTCTGCTGAGATTAAAAGGCTCCAAGGAAGAGATGGGCCAAGGGATTCCTCAAAGATCTTTTCTCTTAATGAAAACCCTAAGGGGAAATAAGAGAAATTCTACCCAGATCTTATGTATCTGGAGTTTATTTGAGACTCTGAACCTTTACTTGTTAGGATTAGGTTGGAGGGCAGGTGGGTTTAGAGGATGGGGAGGGAAGACAGAAAAGTTACTTCCTCCTTCTAATCCCCCACACACACCGTCCTGCCCCAACCATCTCCTTAAGAGCTTTCTTTTCCAAAACATGCTCCTTTTCCCAGACAAGAAAAGTGGCTGCAGCAGAATTCCCTGGGAGTGGAAGGGAAGTGTGTGGGAGGGAGACTCTTCCTTTGGATGGGTTTGGCAAGGGGGACATTGGGCAGGCTGGCTGTGAGGCACAAAAGAGATATCCTTTACAGCGCCGCATGCACAGATGTAACGCTGCGCCCCTCTGCGGGTGGGGGCCGGCTCGGCAGATGGCTAGAAGCCCAAATGCTGACGGATTGTCCATCAAATAGCACTTTGTGGGTGGTGGGGATCTCATGGCCCCCAGGCTCAAACAGGAAAGCAGGGGACTCCCCCTCCCCCCTTTGCAGGCCTCGGCAGTCCCTCCCAGAAGTGGGGATCAGGTTAGCATGAGAGAATAGATTAAGTTTTTTCTTTTACTTGTCTCCCCACCAGCCCCCAGTCAGTAGAAGATCCACTACAAGACTTGTGAAGGGGCTGGGAAGGGACGTGGTCGAGTCCCGAGGGTACCCAAACAAGGGAATGGGGGGGAAGGCCTGCGATGATGAAGGAGGGCAGAGGGGGATGGGAAACAGGATTTCCTGCGTGGTTCAATTCGGGGTGCTGGAATTGCTTGGCAGAGGGGTCAGCGCTGCAACTCCCTGGCCGCGGGGCCTTGGTGACAGGCGCACGCCCCGCCCTTTCTCCTCCCAAGACCTGCGGGCTTTTGTTATGCAGATGGCGGCAGGAGGCTGAGCCAGCGGAGGAGGGGTTGGCAGAGAGGTGGGGAGACGGAGAGGGTGCGGGGAGGCGGTGGAGGTTGGGGGGTGGCGGGGAGGAAAGTGCAGCTCGCGCGACCAGCCTCCTCTTCCAACGTCACATTGTGCGAGAGACAAAACCCGGGCGCGCCGGAGCTCACACGCGCACGCACAGCAGACGACCTGGTCGCCTCCTCTCTCCTGGCGCCGCCAAGAAAGCAGTGCAGCTTTTCTTTCCTGGGGCGCGGAGCTCGGCGAGCTCGGAGCGCAGCACAGAACCAGCCCTGCAGGCGAGGAAAGCCGGCGGACCAGCCTTCTTTCTCCGCTGCCTGCGCAGACCCAGGCGCCCCATCCCCCGCCCCGAACTCCCATCTCTCCCACCCCACCCCTCTGGGTTCCACGCGGACAGCGCCCCGAGCCCGGTGTGGAATCGACGTTTCAGCACTTCGGACAGCGCCCGGGCGCCCCGGCCCGTTTGGGTTGACTATGGCGAGCGTTCAGCAGGGCGAAAAGCAGCTTTTCGAGAAGTTCTGGCGAGGAACCTTCAAAGCGGTGGCCACCCCACGTCCCGAGAGTATCATTGTTGCTAGTATCACAGCCCGCAAGCCCCTGCCCAGGTAATGATCTCTTTTTTTTTTTAAGAGGGGGAAACCCGGAAAGTCCCCCTTTCTGGCCTGTGCCCCCAGACGGATGGATGCAGGCAGCTGGGCCAGAGCGCCTGTCTTTTCCCGTCACTGCCTGCTATCTCCCGCTGGAACATAGGGACTAATTGCTTGTGTGAGAAAGAAGCTGCTGAGAAGGGACAGGGATTCTCTGGGGGTGATCAGGGAGCCACACTCCTTGGATCCCATAGCTCCTAAGCCAACGGTTTTCCTTTCTTAGGGTGGGCGGTGCAGCTGGGGTAAGGCGACTGAAAAACTTTTCTTGGTGCCAGAGCTCAGAGGGCAAAGGGAAGGTGGATTGGAGATGGCTGGGGAGTGTTGTGCAAGAGAAGATTCAGAGACAGCAGCACATTTCTACCTCCACTCAGAAACTAGCAAGCTCTGAACGTTTTGACAAAAAGCCCATATGCTGTTCCTTCAAATACACCCAAAACAGCACCCTCCTCCATGCGTTTCTGTCGCCTTTGCTGCTGCCGCCCAATTTTCCCCTCTTCTGCATCCAAAACCAGGACTCTGAGCTCAAAGTCAGATGATCTTGGAAGAGTTTTATTTGGGTTTTCAAAAGGATTCTGATTGCTTTGAACTCAGGGATGAGAACAGATCCTGGGGTGCTGTTAAGAAAAGAAACGATAGGAGGGAAGAAAATGGAAAAGAAAGGAAAAACAAAAAAAAGAAAGAAAAGATTATGGGATAAAAAGGAGAGGTGGTTGGGGAAAGCTGAAGTGTTCTAAGACAGAGAAAACCCAATTCTTTTCAAAAATTGTTCGTTTGGGGGGAGTTTGAGAATGAAAGGAAGACTGTGCCTTCTGTCAGGGAAAATCAAAGCAGTATGAAAACTCACCTTTTTGCTGATGTTGGCTGAGTGGTTTAGGAGGTAAAAAGGAAAAAGAAATTGGGGGAACCTCTTGGAGGATTTATTAATTCTGGCAGACTGTAGAATTAAGGAATAGACTGAAAACATGTCTGGGAAAGTCTTTTGGATAGAATACCTGGTCTGGTACAACTAGATCTGAACTTTCCAGGAGGTGTGGGATCAAAGATTGATGGAAATCACACATGTAAAACCAAACTCATGTGAGGCAAGTTTTCTTCGTTCTGATAGAGGAGGCTTATGCAGGTCTTAGAAAAATGGGTGTCCCGTGGTGGGAATGGGTGAACAAGAAATACAATGAGCCAGCTGGGTGTAGCAGCCTGTAAGCAGCAGCCAGTATTTGCAAGGGGAGGGAGGAAGGGTAAACCCACTGATGCAGGCTGGGAAGGAGGAACAATAACACCAAATGTCATTAAAAGCTGATGCTTCTCTGCTTAGAGGGAGGGTCTTTGTAGAGAGTTTTGATGTCAGCAGTTTTATCTTCCTGGTTTTCTGCCATCTGGTCCACCTTTGTAGTATACCTAGTGTTGGCAAATCAGGTGCTGCATTAGTCAAAGAAAATGCCCTTGCAGGAGAGAGTTTGAAATTTTTACTGGAAACCTGAAGTGTAGCATTCGGTTTAAGAGTCTTCTACTTAGAGAGGTGGGGGGACAGGAGGAGGAAAGCGGAATCGTGGTGATGTTTTAATTCAGAAAAGTATGCTTAATGCCTACCTTGCTCGTAACTTTTATGCTTTGTTGGACTGTCTGTTACTGCCGTACTTTTTTCTTAGTCATGGTCTCAGCTATATGAATTGTGTGGAAGATCTCCTAACCATCATGCTTTCTATACTTTTGTTCTAATTCAAATTCAATCTGCCTGAGACTTTTACCACAGCCTCCATAAACCGCCCCCCCACCCACACACACACATAGTATCATTTCACTTTCGGTGTCTTAATGTCTGTCTCCTTCTCCCTGGAAACTAGCCTGAAGTATAAGTCTGAGCTACGTAAGCCCTCAGTTTATGTCATGCTTTAAGGGTCCTATTTAACACTTCTGTAACATGTGTGGCTTCTCTGTAGAACCGATTCCAATATTTTAAATGTTTCTTTTTGTTTGGGGTAGAAAGTAAGCAGGGAACATTTGTATTCAAGTCCTCAAAAAAGGCTGGATTGAGTTGTCTTTGAGCAGACTGGCTATAAAACCTGAATCATCCCCACTCTCACCCAAGTCAGCCACATCCAATGACAGTCAATTTCCACTTCCTTCCCAATGTTCTGTACTTACTTAAGGGTGGTAAGTACAGTGCACCATGCTTCTAAAGCAGAGTTTTGGGCATAGCCTCAGCTGAGCCCCAGTGACTCCCTTCAGAGGCTGTCTGGGGATTTGGTCTCAGCAGAAATATTTGGTTCCATGAGTCAAGCCCAGCTCACAGTCAGGAGATCAGCACAAGTAACCGTCTGCAAGAAGATGGAGGAGGGGTGGATGAACCACCAGCCAGTCATGTTGGTTGCACACTTAGGATTTATTTGTAAATGAGGGCCACTCCTCTAAATGAGCTTTGCAGGAATATTTAAGTCTAGCTTAAATACTTTAGCTATTTAATTTAGCACCAGGATAAAAATATGCATTCAATTTGTTAATTTCGCAGCAACATGCATACATCACACAACTGCACTCCAAGCCAAATGCACCCCTCTGTCCCTTCCTCCTTCCTGTCCCCCTCTGTGAAGCATAGTTGATGAGGTAAGAGCTTTACAGTGCATCAAATTGCAAGCAGATGTCTGATTCAGGATAGCAGAGTTGAAGACAGTATACCATACTGGTTAAAAGCTGACTTGAGAATCAGACAACCTGGAATCCCATCCCGGATTCATCACTTCCTGAGCATCTTGGAGAAGTAGCTGTACCTTGCTGAACTTGTTTTGAAAATAGAAGTAATAACAGTTGCCACCTTCAATAGTGGGTTGTGAAGGCTGAGTCAGGTGAAGCACTCCCTGCAATTTGTAGCGTGTGGTGTTTGTTTAATCACGTTGGAGCTATAACAAAGCTTTTAATGACTCAAAGGAAACAAACCGTTCCTCAGTATTGTAACCTGCATGTCTACCTATTTCTCCCTCAACTTGTGCTGTCAACCAACCTCGTGAGATTTCGAGTCCTGACACAGGGATGGAATTAGTACCCGTGGGGTGGGTTAGGGTCGGGGCCATCCCTTGATTCCCCTCCCTCAGGGAAGGGTGGTCACTCTCTTATCTGACTGTCACATTAAGAGATGGGACATGGTGAACATTGGTACAATTACTTATGGAGCCTTCTTTTAGTTTATATAGGGAAGACCAGGTATTATCAGCCTAACCTCAAGAACTCAAAGTCCTTGAAAAATCATAATTTTAGCCAGGCACCAGTAGCCCACACCTGTGGGTCTGGGGAGGCTAAGATTGGGAGGATTGTAGTTCGAGAGACTCCAAAAATAACCAGAACCAAATGGCCTGGAAGTGTGTGTGGCTCAAGTGGTAGAGCACCTGCTTTGCAACTGTGAAGCCCTGAGTTCAAACTGCAGTCCCACCCATCCCCCCCAAAAAATCACAATTTTATTCTCTGTGTTTATTAAATTGAGTGATTATATCAAGAAGTCTTTAAGAATGAAAGGGGGTATTGCTAGTAATTATTCTAGTATGGAAATGCCTAACAGGATGAGGGCCACCATAGTCAAACCTCAAGGGAGCCAATGTGACTCAACATGACATCTGAAGTGTAGAGAGACCCCTCTTCTATTCCCACTAAGGAAGGGTAGTCATGTTGACTGGTATTAACTTAATTCCTTTTGTTAATTGCTTAGTCTAGAAGAATTTGTGCCTAAGAAGTTTCATCTCTGTGAAAACCTAGTGTTTGAAGCCAACTCAAACCACAATAATCATATAGACAAATGCTTATAGCTGGGGACTTAATGAACATGTAAAAATCATTTGAAATTAGCATATCAATTGTTTTTGGATACATGAGTACTCCTAAAGGCTGGAGCAGCAGTCCCCCTAAATAGAGCAAGTATTCCGTTTGTACTTCTTTTGGCAAGCTATTAATTTTCTTCGAAAATTCTTTCTATGCAGAATACTCCAGAAGCAAACTTCATCCCAGTCCCTGTCCAAAGGATCATAAATTCCAAACTATTGGAGACTTTACTGCATAAAGAGAAAGATGGCCAAATTGTAAGGCAGGGGAAAAAAATGCCTTTGAAGCATTTAATTTGAGACTGCCCTTGGTGCCAAAAGATCAGTTAGCCCATTTGTACTGACTCCATCTGGGGAGCAGGGTGAGGGCCAATAGGGAGGTGTTTTTCTGACAGCCTGCTGTTAAGAGCCAATGTATTGAGGGGGTCACAGAGAAAGCTTGGCCTGCCAATGGAGCAAATGCTTTTCTAAGAGAAGGGAGTGCTACTGTTTGGGTCAAGCCTTTCTCCATTTGAAAGGTGAAATTTGTTGATTGGGGTGCAGGGCGCTTGGTGGAGGGTCATTTCTGACTTCTGCTGTGTTCACTTGGCAAACATGTTATCTTAGAGAGCCAGGATGCAGTAGACACTCAGTGGAGGTAAGATGCCTTGATTGAATGAGTACACATGGTCCAAACTCAGCAACAGATTAGCTTTCTCCCCTCCCCACCTCCAGTTCTGACACATGGGAGAGTCTAACCAATGCAACTGAAAGACACATAGGCTGCAAACAGACTCTCCCTGGTGTCAGAATGAAACTCCCTCGATAAAGACATCTGTCTGGCTCAGTGAGTAGACATGTGAGCTGGGGTGGAGGGCAGGAGATCGGGCTAAATCTACCTGAAGGTGCTTTTCAGGCTGGTGAGTCTCTTATCACCTCCACCCTACTCCAGGTCACCAAAAAGGGGGAAGATCCCTAAAATCCTAGCTCCTATAATGAAGCCCTGGTCAGGTGCCTCTGCTCCACGAGCACATCAGGCGTGCTGCAGGGACGCAATAAATTTCAGAAAATATCCTTTCTTTCAGAGTGGCTGGATTTTCCTTCCTGTGAGGTAGGAGAAATTGCAGGGGCTTAGCAAAATGGGAGCTCTTTAATGGCTTGTTGCTAAGACTTTTT